CTCCTTCAGTGCTCGGCCTTCCTTATGGTCCAACGCTTGCAGCCATACATGACTACTGGAAATACCATTGCTTTGACCATACAGACTTTTGTTAGCAGGGTGATGTCTTTACTTTTTATTATGCTGTCTAGGTTTGCCATCGCTTTCCTCCCAAGGAGCAGGCATCTTTTAATTTCATGGCTGCAGTCACAGTCTGCGGTGATCTGGGATCCCAGGAATGTGAAGTCTGTCACTACTTCCACGGCTTCCCCTTCTATTTCCCAAGGAGTGATGGGGCCGGATGCCATGATCTTAGTTTTTTTGATGTTGAGCTTCAAGCCCACTTTTGCGCTCTCCTCTTTTACTCTGAACAAGAGGCTCTTTAGATCCTCTTCACTTTCAGCCATTAGAGTGGTATCATCTGCATATCTGAGGTTGTTGATCTTTTCCCCAGCAATCTTAATTCCCGTTTTCACTCTCTTGTTGACTATAAAGGCCACACCATTTTTTCTACGGGATTCTTGGCCACAATAGAAGATATAATGGTCTTCTGAGTTAAATTCGCCCGTTCCCATCCACTTTAGTTCACTGATTCCCAAGATGTCGATGTTCAGTCTTGCCATCTCATTTTTGACCACATCTGACTTACCTTGATTCATAGATCTTACATTCCAGGTTCCTATGCAGTATTGTTCTTTGCAGCATCAGACTTTCCTTTCACCATCAGACACGTCCACAGCTGAGCGTCCTTTCAGCTTTGGCCCAACCGCTTCACTCTTTCTGGGGTTACTTGTACTTGCCTTCTGCTCTTCCCCAATAGCATATTGGACACCTTCCAACCTGAGGGGCTCATCTTCCGGCGTCATATCTTTTAGCCTTTCGTTACTGTACATGGGGTTTTCTTGGCAAAGATACTCGAGTGCGTTGCCATTTCCTTCTCCAGTGGATCACATTTTGTTTGAGTTCTCTGCTGTGGCCTGTCCATCCTCGGTGGCCCTCCATGGCATAGCCTGCAGCTTCATCGAACCATGCAAGCCCCCTCACCACTTCAAGGCAGTGATCCATGAGAGAGTGACAAGCCCTACTGAGCATTAATCAAGAAGTCAACCCTGCAAGGTAGGACACTTGCAAGTTGAGTTCCACAAACGATTACTTGGTAACTATAGCCAAAATACATCAAGGTTCTAGATTTAGATTGACACCCCAAAATCCAAATAACACCACAGAAAGTGCACTGCTCTCCTTGGGGCTAGGTAGCCAAGGTTCCTTTGGTTCTAGATATTCCCCAGAGAGAAGAGAAATTTTAAAGCCATTAGCAAGGAACTTTCCACTTGGCTGGAAATTTCTATCAGCAAATACATGCAGCAGACTCAGGGGCAGCTGGGACTTTATGGGTGAGGCAAGAGACTCTAACGGACAGGCAGAGGTATCTGGCCAAACCAAGTGCACTGGGGAAGAGGAGCAGACTGGCAGCAAGCAAGATCTTATCTGGTGTGATAATATGGATAGACCTGGATAAAGTCAATCAACAAAACAATGCAGAGCTGGAAATCAGACTGCCCTCCTCAGCTAGGTACACAGCCAAAATGTCATGGTATTGAGATCTAGGGAGCAACAGCGTGGGGGGGGGGCAAGTTATCCCCCCACAGACCCTACTAAAATAGTGGCAAAAGGGCTGGACACCCCTGAGCCCCTTGTACTTTAAGCACAGGTCAAAGGGGGTAGAAAAGATACCCCTGAGAAATCTGTGTTATTATAGATGTCAAGACAAAGATGGAAACTGGGAAAGATGGGAAAGTTCTTGCATCAGTAGTGGGAATAAGAAGGCAGTCAGAAGAGGTACCTGGTAGAAGAGGTAGAGAAATTACCTGATAATACAAGCCCCCCTTTTAAGTTTTCAATGCAATCTAGCAAGTAATGCCAACTGGAGTTTTGTGCTGTATCTTTACTTGGAAGCAATTTAAACGTTAAAGGACGAGATAAATCTTTGGCACAACACTTTGATATTATCCAAGATGTTATTTACCCTGTGGTTGTATGCATATCTATTGGCAACATTATAAAGCAACTCCCAGTTTTTATAAATACATAAGCAAGACGAGAGGCCAAGAATTAACAAGATGTGAAAAAGAAGGTACAAACAGGGCATTAAAGCAATCATTATGAACGAAGGGAAATACTTGACTTTTAGGAACATTGCAAATCATTTTTTAATAAAATTAGGTGTTCATTTATGACATTTCAACACCAAAATATGACTTCTGTGTTTGGTCCATGAAATCTGTATCATGCTCAAGGTCATTTTACAAAGATGATCAGTTCATGGGATTTACTTCTGTTAACTACAAACATGCAGTCTAAATTTACTACTCTTCCACTCCATGATTTTGCTGTGAAGAGTCTAATACGATGAGTTAGAATAATAACAAAAAAAAAAATACGACACCTGGCTTGCAAGTTTGCTGTGGGGAAAATATTGCCAGGCTTCTAAAAGCCCGTTTGTGTTTACATTCTGGAGAGATGTCCCAGTGCCTATTGCTAAATTCCTAGTTGATAACACACTGCAGCAAGGTGGCGCCATTCTCTGAGTAGGATGAAGTTCTTTCTGTAAAATGAAACTGTTCACTATCGCTCACTGCGGGGAGACTTTTGGACGGCCAACCTGAGAGTCGCGGTAGGCAAGCTGGGGTGGACAGCTTTTCAACTGCCCCGCAGTGACCGGGGCCCCGGGATTCCGGTCCAAACTCCAAAGTGCAGAAACCAAGACGCGGATCTGGGCCGGGTTCTTCGGGCAGGAAGTGTATGCCCCACCCCGGCACTGCAGATCTGGAGGGGCTGCCACAGCCCCGCTTCCTCACAAAGATAAGCACAGCTGAAGTTCAGGGAAACACCTTTCGCTTGCTTTGCATAAGCTGGAACCCCTTCCAGGGTCGGCATGGCATCAGGTAGGGATCAATGTGCACCGTTTTAAACAAAGAAATGCTCCTGTCTTTTTCGCGGCTTGTCACTTCTCTCCTCGACCCCTATCCCACTTTTTATTCCTGTCCACAGCATTTCTCGCTATCTCTTGTTTTAGCTACAGTTTCTCATCTAGAGGAAGAATTTTTTGTTGTTGTTCAGTCGCACAGTCGAGTCCGACTCTTCGCGACCCCATGGACCAGATCACGCCAGGAAGAATGCACTCCTGCAAATTTTTATGGGCAGAAATGGGAGGGGGGAGCGGTTGATTGCAAAGGCGAGAAGAGCCCTTCGTGGCAAGCATGCCCCACAGCTTGTTAAGTGAAAGAATCCCGAAGACCCACTGGCAGTGGCGCCCAGGGCGCCCACTTGTTAGGGTCTCGTCGCAGGTCACTTATTAAGCTCCGTCGCACAGTAAAGATCAGGGGAAAGGCGGCGCGGCGGCAGGAAGGGATGTGTAGAAAGCGGATGCAGTGAGCTGAGGGCTTTCCTACTACATTTCCCCTTTTCTGCCCTGGGTCGATACCTTCGAAGTCTGCACAGCAACAAGAGAGTTTAGTTTGAAGCAAGGCGGAATGACGGAGATAAAGAGGATGCATTTTGCAGCACGAATAAGCTCAGATGGCCAATTTCTGCCGTTTGCTGCTACTTGCACATAGCAAAAATTAACCAAGAATTGTCTGCAAGTTGTTACAAGCGGCCCTTTCAGTCAACCGCCGGCGCCATTTCTCAAATACAGCTAATCTCCCTTCTCCGCGGGCCTCTCGTGTTGGAAGGCCCAGGTTACATTTCCTCCAACAGTTCTGGCGTCCTCTGAAGACAAATTCCACCCTTCGCTCCACATTAAAACCTCTGGCTCCCGAAGCAACAGCATTCATGAATCTCCAGGCCAAACATTTGCGTAATTGCCGTTGTGCATACTTTTCCCCAGCGGGGAGAAAAGGCTGAATTTGCGCCACATGCAAGTTGCCAGGATCTCATTCAGAGCGGCGCGGCGCGGGTGCCACGCCCTAGTGGCAGGCTCCGCCTCCCTTGCTGCCAGGCTCGGTGCTCGGCATCTCGGAAGAAGCTGCTGAGCCGCCAGGCCAATGTAGGAGGAGGAGCCAATTGTTTCACAATCTGGTTTATTGTATCAAATTGTCCCCCAATAAAAAGTCCCCCGGTGGTTTTTTTTTTGGGGGGGGGGGGGGAAATGTAAGCCAGTTAGCTGGCCGCAAATACCCCTAAACAACAAAGAGGGTGGCGTAGTTCATTCTGATTTTGAGACAGGGAGTTTCCGGTAGCAATGATACAGGGGAGGGGGCTGGCTGAGGCTCCCCTTCCCGAGAAGCGTTGTTTTAAACGGACTCTTTACCGTACCCGCCCCCCCCGTCCTGTTGGGTATATTCGGTTTAACGGAATAAAAAGCAGTGCAGTGTGTTTCTTTGAAATCCAGACGGGAAAGATTGCTTACAGTCGAAAGAGCGCCATAGTTGTTTTAGGATGCTTGCCGAAAGCGGTGCAGATACACTCAGGATTCTTGCCTTTTGGGGAAGGACCCATAGTCACGACGATCTGTTTGAATACATATTTAATTCCTTTTAATAGTCAAGGTAGCTAACGGGTAGGCAGCAACTTGGAATTTTCCATTTTCTCAAGGCGTAGGTGGGAGCATGTTTGTTATTACAGTGCAAGGCGTGTGATCCTGCGTGAGCGAAGCCCCACCATACGCGCCATTCATTACGGTTTCCTGATGCAGAGGGGTCGAACCGAATGCAGAAAATTGGGGCTTACAAGATGCAGATCGCCAGACGCTGCTAGCCGACCTATGCAACCTTAAACCGCATTGGTTTCAGTGAGGTTACTGACTCCCAGGTGTATGGGACTGCAGTCCGGGTGTTTCCTGCAAGGGCAGCCGCTAGCGGACGGGGGAGGGTAACAAAAGCGGGGCTCTGGTTTAAGATCCGCTGGAGATCGTCTGCAGGGAACTCTGGTCAGTCCCTCGGGCGGGCGTAAGGCTCTCGCTATCAATCAGTAGGAAGGGGCGCGGCCCACCTTTGTCTCCGCCTTTTTCTTGAGTCCGATCGCGGCCGTGCCGGTTGTGAGACTTCGGCGGCGCATCAAGAAGGAACAAAATGTCGTCTGGCATCGTGCCCCCCAAGAGTGGTTCCCCACTGAGGAAGCGGGCCAGTCTTCAGGCTCCCACCACAGCAGGTGAGCGTGGATGGTGGTATGGTAGGCGATCCTTCTAACCCCCCCCCCCCGGGGCGTTGGATGCGGTTTCCCCCCCCCCGGAGGGACGTTGCCAGTAGTACTTCGCTATGGAAATTACCTTGCCCCGTGGAATGTCCATCTCTCCCTCCCCGTTAATCGTGCTGTTCTCTGGTGGTGTTTCCTACCTTTCTAAGCAGATGTTTGCTCTCTTGTTATATTGTAGGAACGCTTCAGGAGCGGCAAGGGGAGTAAAACAATCAAGGGTTGGTTTGCTTTGGGGTATATCAACAAAGGAGCTTCAGAATTTGTCTGCCAGCATAGCTGTATGTTTGGAAGCCTATTTTGACAAGACAGAAGAGGAACATGGGGAGGCATATGCCTGGGTTTTGAATTTTAGGGAGGGCTTGACTTGATGATGCGAACACATCACTCTTTTTTACCATTAGTAGGTCTGCATGTCTGATGAACACCAGAGACTATAGCAAAAGGTTTTTAGGATGCTGAATATAAAGCCACTGTTAACACAGACCATTTAGTTAGCACTCTATGGGGGTGGTTGTGTGAGCAATACATAAGCCCTTGGGAGCATTGACTAGCATCTGGGGGTTTGACTAATCATATTTCTTCCCACACCTGACATGCTAGCTGGTGGCAAGACATGTGGCTCCACTTCCTCCCAAACAGATGCACTGGCGGAGAGGAAGTTTAACAACAGCTATGCATTTCCTGTGCAACAAAACCATTATCTGGGAAAGAAAAACCCAAATTGCCATTCCTAATCTTTTCTTTTCTTGGAGCATGATATAAATCTGAACTAGCTAGAGATCAGTTCAGAAATATGTTTGGAATTCCAGGCTTCAGCTTTGAAACATTAAAGCAGTGCTGCTGCTGAGCATGTGTACAGTCCCAAGAAACGCTCACAGGTAGCATCTGTACATCAAGTCATGCCTAACACTGCTCTTTTAAGAAATAAAACACAGCCTGTACTTTCCTGCTTCATTGGTTTGCTTTTTTGTTTCACTTGACCAGTATCTTTTCAGTTCTGTACAGGTTCTGTAAGAGAGTTAATTGGCAGGGGCAGAAGACAGATGGTCCAAGTCTGCTGGTCGTAGTTTTTGAATATATTGTCTTTTGAAATTAGACTTTTGTAGGAAGTATGGGAGGCTTTATGCACTTAAAAATAATCTTGTTCATTTGGGGGTATATCTGCAGTGTGCAGTCACGTGGGAAGTCCAATAGCATGGCAGGCACGTGGGGTTTCCTCTTCCTGAAGCAGACTGCTGCTCCATCTGGTTTTTTGTCATACATCCTTGCAAGCTCCTGTTCTTCTCCATTTGGTGTAGAGATACCAAAGCTGGTATCTAAAATGTGTACCTTATATATGCACATAATGTACCTGCCTACATGTTATGTAGCCTGGCTGATAACTTGTTGTATGGTATGTGGGAGGTATGTATTTTTGAGACTGGACTTCATGCTAGTGATAAATGCCCTGTGCATGGTTTGAATGGCCTGATTTAAAATGTGCTGATTTCTGAACATTGTCCCCTCCCCCTCCAGCCTGCTAGGCTGCCTGAGGTGTACAAGTGGTCACTTGTGGCGTTTCTTTTAGTTTGGAAATAAGTGCACTGAATGGGATTTCAGTATCACAATGCTGTGCAGTAGTGTTTATCCACCTTGTTACCAGAAACTGTGCTCCAAGAAGCCCAGTCTCATTTGTCCTGGATGGCCTGTGAGGTGGTGATTAATGGAATAGTTGAGCACTTGATCTAGACTGTTCTTACTCCACTTGTTTCTCATCATTAGGTTTGCAGTGATCAGGCAGAGGGCGAAAACTGGGAGAGGGACCTGTAAGGGAGGGAATGGCTTAGGGCAAGGGTGGCCAAACTCGCTTAATGTAAGAGCCACATAGAATAAATGTCAGATGTTTGAGAGCCACAAGACATGAACAAACACTACACGTTTTTACTCGGAAATATGCAAATTTGCTTTTTATTAACATTACATGAGACTGCCAAAAATAATATCAGAAGTGGTAAAAGCAGATATTGATAATGATATTTATTTGTCCAATGATATTTGTTTGCTAATGATATTTAGCTTCCCCAGCCACCCTGCTGGGAGCCACACAATATGTGTGAAAGGGCCGCATGCGGTTCCCGAGCCACAGTTTGGCCACCCCTGGTTTAGGGGGTTGCCCTTCTGGCCCTTCTCCCTTTCCATCCCTGTAATGGAAAGCGACTGGCCCCTGGGCTGTACAGTCTCTTGGTTCTTAAACATTCACAGTGTTAAACAAGCAGATTAGGGAGACGGGTTTAGTGCATTTCACTTGCTGTTGTGGTAGTTTACTGCATGTGAGAGGGGGCTTCTTCAGAGGACGGCGGAAGACAGGAAGGGCTGGCGGGATCTGGTCCATGGGGTCGCAAAGAGTCGGACTTGACTGTGCGACTGAACAACAAAAAATGAAAAACCACCTTGAACCTCAGCGAGAAAGGCAGACTATAAAATGTTCACCATGTTACCAGCTTGCTGTTGAACACAAATCGGATTTTGCCAGTAATCTTCCAAATGTGAGGTACTAAGGATGGTTTCTTGTTTCAAAGTGTAGATAAAAATTCCTCACATTTTGAGCCTGGACTTTGTGAATCAGTACTCTGAAAGAAGGTAATATGTCTGTATCTCTGCTCTGCAGAGCTTGCTCATAGACTGCTGGCACTGAGAGCATGCCATTAGTTAGTACCACACTGCAGTGGGAAGTAAAACCCAGTGAAGAACTAATTATGAGAGTTATGCCAGGCTAGCTAGGATGTCACAGTAAGCCTGTTTTAGGGGTTCTGGCAAATTGTGAAGCAAAATGCCAGACAGGCTTCAAGTTTCTTCCCTCACTTTTTGCTTGGTGAAATACTGTTGGAACAGGTTTATTCCCCTGTGAGGCAGAGGAGGTGCCAAAGCTGACTATCTTGTATGTGGGATTGCTGGGCAAGCAACAAATTTGAAAAGAAAACCACAGCATGGCTTGCTGGTAACTTAAATATATATATATTTTTTAATTTCACAAGGAATAGCAAAGTCTGCAATGGGAAGGGTGAGTAAGATAAAAGGGTTGGTTTTTAGTGGTTTGGGCAGCTTTGGTTTCCTTCCCCTATGCTTGTTATGTCATGACCCTGCAATATGTCATGACCCTGCAAAGTTCTCTCAAATCCCTGCCACATGGGGTGAGAAAGCACAGCCAAAGTGCGGCTTTTTAGAGCCGCACCAAAAGAGACACGCAGTGGGGGGATCACATAGATCCCCTGAGCTGCCGTGCAGTTGCTCCCCGGCACGATCAGATGCCGGGGGGGAAGCCACTGAAGGGAGAGGGAGGCAGCCGAACTGTGCATGTGTGTGCATGTGCAGTTCGGCCGGGAGCCTGGATTGCTCCTGAAGACGGGCGCTCCGGCGATCCGACGGCCGCGCTTGCTGTGGCGTTGCAGGTAAGTCCTGCTCTTTAGCAGGTTCTTTTTTCATCCGCATTACCGGCCTGAAGGGACGGATCGGGGACGGGTGCACGTCAATTCCCAGATGTTGCGGTGTGCTCGCGCCCATTTGCTGCACCCCCGATCCGTCCCTCTTCCGGGCCAAAACCTCCCATGTGACCGGGGCCTCAGTATTTGCTACAAATTCCACTGTTTGGAAACAGACATGCTGCCCAAAAGTGTGTGCATTTATCTGCACACTTGGGGTTTTCTTGGTGAGTTTGGAATTGAATTTGGAGATGTTTTTGGTTCACAGTAGATGCAGTCCTTTGGTTATATAGTCTTCAAAGCAGGATCTGAAATTGCTATGATTGTCCCAGTACTCAAGATCTTTATCTGCTCATCACTGTAAGTAAATCACATTCACTTTAGTGGAGGTGGTACAATCTGGAGCTCTTTAGTCAGTTGTCTTGCCCTTGATTTGCTCAGGATCACAGCTGGGTAAAGGATTGCACCCAAATCTTCTGAGTCTGCCATATAATCACCCAGTCAGCTTTCCTTTCCTTTGTTAAATGACCCACCTCTGTCCCCCTTTGGCTGTTAGATACTGGAGCATCAAGCAAATACAGAATCAGAGGATTTATTGTTATTATTTTTTAATAAGTAAAGCAGGACGATAAGCAATCTTTTTTTTTCCAATCTGGGAAAAATCATAACAAAACATTTAAATTACTATTTTTCTAAACATTTCATATTGGTCTATATAATGAGAGATCTCTTAACCAGATGATTTTAGGTTTGAAATAGTGCTGGGGATATGTTTAGCAGTTGTAAGTCAGCTATTTGTGTTGTGTTTTGGAGGGAGGAATAACTGCAATATCTTTTGAGAATCTAATTTTAAAAAAACTAAAATAATATTAACTTGGGAAACTGTCTTAACAGTATGATAATACTTACTGGATGGTCCTCATGGGATAAGATATGTAAGAAACAGGATGATCATACTGTATGACCTATACAACAGCGTTTCTCAAATGCAGATATTTCAGTAGTACAGCAGCCTAGGGTGCTTCTCTATCTACAGACACATCCTGATGATAGTTTCTCGCTATGAGGAAACAAGCCTGAAGCACAGCTGGTGGGAATCTGCAGCTGTGAGAACTGGCTGCTGGGAAAGATGAGCTCAGTTGGGGCAGGAAGTTAGATGAGAACCTAACACTTGGATCAGTAGAGATACCAAAGGGTGAAAGTGGTGGCAATTAGGCATATGAGGGGCAGGAGCAGAGACTGATGAAGGTTTTGGAGATCTAAGCAAGAGGTTATTGCTAGGATTTGGATGGTGGTATAGCAGTCAAGGAATGTTGGTCAGTGGAGAAAGTATGTATTTAAAAGATAGTTTTATGAAATGTAGAGGGGTAATTTTGAGAGAGCTTTAAAAATTACGCTATTTGCATGACTGCGGTTAGACAGAATGCCTAGGCCATTTAGGTATTGATTTCCTCTCTGAACAGAATTTAGCTCAAGGGTCTCTGGTTTGTTTAGCAA